CTCTTGAGGCGGAAGCCCAGAAGCCAGATGACACTTCCATTTCCCAATAGACCCAGCAGGCAGATTATGAGAACAAAAACGTTGATAATATTTTTTGATAACTTATCAAGGGGATGCTTGTGTGTTACGTTGGCTAACGGTTCAATTGAGAGACTTATGTTTTCAAAGAGAAAACTAGAAATGTTGTCTTCAGTAGATCTGTAGCCATTTTCTCCAAGATTCACTGGCAGGTCACCATATCTTAATGTGTTGATATAGTGATACACATCCCTATTAAAAAAGATACAAAGGAGGATTGTTTTCTGTTAGCAAGATTGATACGGTTTTCATTCTTCATGTGTCCAAGTGGCCACATTGCTCTTTTTAGAACTTGCTGACTGACACTTCTGATGTCCATTTGATTAATAAAATGCCCATCCAAGCATGTTGAGGAAATTTGGTTGAAAGTCCCTTATATAATTTGTAAATTTCACTTGAGTTTTTCACTATTGGGTGATCTACTGCAAAGCTGCCCTTTAGACCCAGGCAGAGTAGAGTCGGGACTGAGTGGGGGAATCGGTTGCGCTATGCTTAAACCCAAATGTGCCTTTTATGTTGACGAGGACAAACATCACCTGAGTACTGGCATCTCTACAGGTGGCCACAATCGCCTGCCATGCTTCCCTCTATCGTGTTCTAGCCGGACTGCAAGCTCTCCCATTCTGGCATGGGCACTGAAGGAAGCAGGGGGCTGGGGGCTGCACAGATGGCAGAGGTGGAACAAGACCGTTTTTTCCAATGCTGCACATCAGGAGACCAGTGTGGTATAGTGGTTACGGTTCTGGATTAGGGCCCCAGGAGATCCTGTTCTTGTCCTCATCTGGCCATGGAGCTCACTGGATGACTGGGGCAGCCACTCCCTCTCAGAGCAACCTGCATCTAAAGGTTGTGTTGTCAGGGGGAAATGGAACTCTGTAAGCTCTCAAGACATTAATGCAAGAATGAAGGTTAAGTATAATAACAGAAACAGAAACAGAGCGAGTCGGAAGTGGCCTCCCGGACCATCTAGCCTGACCCCTGGTTCCAGCTGATTCCACTCATGACATGCCCACCATGTGCAAGTCCAACCAATCCTTGAACACCTTCATCGATGCGGCCTCAAGCACCTCCTGGGGAAGCCCATTCCATGCCCTAGGGGACCTAACTGTCAGGAAGTTCTTCCTGGCATCCATGCCTAATAATAGTATGAAAGCTACCATTCTCCTTTTTTGTATTATTCAGGTAAGTTCTCATTCTGTCACTTTGCAGTTCAAGTACAATAGCAGAACTTTGCAAACTGTTCCGTGGCTCAAGCAGTTGCCCATTATTTTTGGGCAAACCTTGGTGGAACAAGGAATTGTTCAAGCGTTCTCTCCACAGAGCACATGAAAAAATGATCTAACAGGGTGTACAATAGGCAGCCTAGTGTTTGCCACAAGAGTTTGGCACAAGCTGTGCAGATGGGGTTGTGCTGCTGCTGGTGCGACCATGCTGTGCAAGGACAACTTTCTCTTGTGAGTAAAAGCAAGAATGGCAGGAGGAAGAGGAGGAATCAGTTGAGGTGAACAGCTCTCAACTGTGCACTGGTGCCCAGCTGATTTTCGCACTGCTGATGCAGCCGGTACAGAAGAGGGAGCCGAGCTTGGCTTCCTAGCACCTCCAGGTGGTTTGTATAATGACTCTTACAAACCCTGCTATTAACCATGCTGTTTGAGGCTTACAGGGGTCGGTACCCAAATTTTGTTTTGAGGGACCATTTGCTGACTTCTGCACTTTAAGCTTCCATGGAACTCCAGGTGGCCACTCAGTAACAGGTACCTGAATATCTTCAAGTAAGCATCCTTTCGGTACTAGGGCCATGAAACATTTGAGGCTTTGGTTCCCCATTGAGATCAGTAATGTAGCACCTCTTTAAATAGATCTGTTTGGTACTTACTCTAAAGACAATCATCTTTTCCAGTACAATTCCACATGCATCACCCATGGATCAAAGTATTTATTCATTTATTAAAAGCTTTGCTATCCTGTCCCCTACAGAACATCTTAGGACAGCTTACAATAAATAAATATAATAGATCAGCCCCACAATATCAGACCATTATATTAAAACCCCAATTAAACATTAGAATAATGGGAAAATGAAAAGGGTTTTGCCTGACACTGAAAAGACTATAACGTTGGCACCAGGCAATCCTCTCTGGAGAGCATGTTCCTTTGTCAGGGTGCCACCACAGAGAAGGTCCTCCTCTGGGTACTCTCCCTCCTAATCTCCTTCAAGGAGGGCTCCTGGAGTAGGGCCTCCACCTCACATCTCAAGGGGCAGGAGGGCATATAGGGAAGAAGGCGTTCCTTCAGGTCTCCCAGACCCAAGCCGATTAGGGCTTTATTGGTCAACACCAGCACCTTAAATTGGTCCCAGACATCAATTGTGAGCCAGTGTAACTGGTAGAGGAGTGTAACTGGTAGAGGAGTGTAACTGCTGTTACATGTGAAAACCGGCTGGTCCCTGTTAACATCCTGGAAGCACCCACATAGAGTGAGTTACAGTAATCCAACTGGGAAGTTACCAGAGCATCGGTCACTGTTGCCAGGCAATGCTCCTCCAGGTAAGGATGCAGTTGGTGGATCAGATGAAGCTGAAGGAAAGCCCTCCTCACCACCTGTGCCACCTGGGACTCCAGGGACAGCTCTGGGCTGAGAAGTACTCCCAAACTGTAAACCATATCCATTAGGGGGAGTGCAACCCCATTCAGGACAGGGCTAAAAGCACTTGCCTGGAAGGCTGAACTGCCAACCAACAGGACCTCCATCTTATCTGGATGAAGTCTTAATGTATTGACCCCCATCCAGCCCATTACCTCGGGCAGGCACTGGTTGAGTACAGCTCCTACCTCACCTGGACTAGAGGCAAGAGAGAGGTAGAGCTGGGTGTCATCAGTGTACTGATGGCACCGTAGCCCAAACCTCCAGCTGACCTCTCCCAGCTGTTTCATGCAGAAGTTAAAAAGCTTGGGGGACAAAATGGAACCCTGTGGAATTCCATGGCAGCAGCTGGAAAGTAGGCAGCTGTAACATGCTTATATATTTATTTAATTTAAAACTTTTCTAGATTGTCCCTTATCGCCACAATAATTTGGGTTAAGAGATGCACTCATCTGCCAGGGTTCAGCTCTTTCTCTCTCCCTCCTTGTTCTGCATCGTCCCGGCATGCTGGCCTCCAAAGGAGGCATCATGGTAGTAATCAGAAATTCCGGTATTTCAATTTCCATCTTACCAAGATTTAAGTGTTCGGTGTTTCCTGGCTAAGATGGAACAGTGTGTCTACTCACTGTGGAAACCGCTCCTGCTCCATCAGGAGATGCCTGTCCTTTAGATTTTCTTTTAAGAATTCGGTAGCTCCCCTAACCTCTCCCACAACCTTAAAAGAGCACAAACTACTTACCAAATGTAACTGGCATGACCACCTGTCTCATTTTGGATGTCATTGTAGCTGGAGTAATCATGAAGCATCGTTGCACTATCTAAGTAAATTTGAAATCAAAGAACAAGGAAATTATTTCGGTCAATTCCTATATATCTAAACAACCACCACCTTGGAACAAATTCCAGTTATCTATGGCTGTACTTTCGATTATGTTAATCTAGACCATGCAAAAACACATCATCAGATCAATCAATAAATGCATGCGCTTGAGTTCAGAAGAGTTTCTGCAGCTTCAAGTTCCATCATTTGCATCATCTCTTATAACCTGCTTGTGCAGGGAGAAACTCCTAGTAAAGAGCCGAATTTTGGTTTTATGAAAATCTGTTGCTATATAATTTTATTAAAATAAGTGATAAATGCTCTCAGTATTTGTTTTAGCACAACTTTGCTGAATAGAATGAAGAACAGCATTAATTGCATTTAAAAGTAATGCTATGCTACCTACGGACAGTTTAGGGGTATGGAAGTACATGAAGAAAAAATATTAGATAGGTCATTAAGGTACAGATTGAATAGCATGGCTCCAATTCTGACATCCCTAGGGACAGGAATAGAGTTAGTCAGGGTTCCCCTCACTTCACATCTCACCTGTACATTAGGGCACTGATATAAACGCATAATTAAATAAAGTAATCTTTTATAAGTGGAAGAGGAATAATGTTTAGCCCATAGCTTATCCCTTGGAACGGAATCAAGAGCAGATTTTAAAATCAATGTACAGTGCTTCGCTGGGAGATTTTGTGACCTCTCTCTTCTAACGCCAGGCAGCTCATTTTTTAACACAGTTTCTTCTTCAATCTGAGTAACAAGTTTGTTATTAAGGTAAAGGGAAGCAGGTAACATGCCTTTGAAAGGAGGCTAATTGGATGGTGGGTGGAAGGACTGTTTCTAGCTCCTTCCGTATGAATAGGGATTATAGCAGCCCGAGACCAGTCACTGGAAAATTGAGCAGTCCTATCAACTTGTGTAAATAGGGCTGCTAATACAGGCACCTGCCCTGTTTTGTTAACTCCCAGTAGTCCACAACTGAATCTGGTCCTGGACACTTCCTGGATTTTATACAGGGAATCAATATCTTTATTTCTAAACGAGTAACAGGGGCCCAGTCCGGATGATCAGAAAAATCCAGGGAAAAAGGAAAGGAAACCATTGAGCCATGATTACTGGGCTCCCTAAAGAATGTAGAAAAAAAATATTTGCCAGACCCGGGCAGCAATTGTACATTTTGTTGAGTCCATGAGATTGCAAATTGCATCTGTAACTATTGACCAGAAGTTTTTAGTATCCTTTTCCAAAGAATAATTTATCAGAATGTTCCACTTCCTTTACATAAGTCCCCTAAATAATTCTTCCTTGAAG